AAGGAGATGGTCTTGGGCAACTATCTTCACCTGGAGCTACTCACTCGGGTAGAGAGCAATGGAAACACATTACACGAAGGACATTATTGAGAAGGGACTCTGAGAAGCGAAAAAAATAACTGGAGTAGGGATTTCCTTAAGAAGGTTTCACCTATTTAACTACACTGTTGTACTGGCCTAGGAAACTTTCCAGAGCTTGCATATTCATAGAATTTTTATATAATATGTTAAAAACAGTGACTCAACTTATAGAAAACATTTACTTCAACTTGGGATAGGCCTAATACCCACTGCCAATGCATCTAATGCTTTAGAGAGCTAGACTTTAAACCATATAGATTTCAGAACTGAAAATCTATATTTGAAAAAAACTATCCTGGTATGAAAACAACACTGAATTTGAAGTCAGATAAAACTGGGTTTTGAATCTTGGCTTTACCACTTACTGAGTGACCTTTGGCAAATTTTAAAGCCCCACTGAGCCTTAATTTCCTCATCTTTAAAATGGGAATAATACAATTTACCTGTAGGGCTATAGTGAGGATTGGCAAATGTACTTAAAGCATCTAGCACTAGGCACTTCATAGGAGTTTAAGCTAATACTGTTAGTGTAGTGGCCTTGTCACCAACATTATCAAATAAAGCAGCAACACTGTGCATGGCCTCCCTCTCATCAACTCAGATACTAGTAAAATAAACTAAAGCATAGAAAAAAAAAAATGTATCTAGAGCAGCCATGCATGCATTAACTGGTTCTTGGTCACAGAAGAATCTCCATCCACAGCCTACTTTCTTCCTACACACAAAGCAAACCCTACAACAGAGTAGAAGTAGAATTAGTAATGAGAGGCTTCTGCAGGCAGCTCACTCACAGTGTAGAGAAGATGGAAAGGAGAAAAAAAAATATGAAAAAAGCAGATGAACTAAAAAAAGCCTAGGATCATTTACTGTAGAGGCACATAAATGTAGTTTCACTAACCTGAGAGTATCACTATAAGCTAGAATACTACCATATCTAAGATTTTTCCATTAAGTTAGGTTCAGTGTACTTTGTAAAAGAAGGCAGAGAAATTTCCCCAAAATGTTTAAAATGTGAAAAGTTTCAGTGCTTAAAACAGGTTTCTGGCCAGGCGTGGTTGCTCATGTTTGTAATCACAACACTTTGGGAGGCTGAGGCAGGTGGATCACCTGAGGTCAGGAGTTTGAGACTATCCTGGTCAACATAGTGAAACCCTGTCTCTACTAAAAATACAAAAAATTACCTGGGCATGGGATACCTGTAATCCCAGCTACTCAGGAGGCTAAGGCAAGAGAATCACTTGAACCCGGGAGGCAGAGGTTGCAGTGAGCTGAGACTGCGCCACTGTATTCCAGCCTGGGCAATAAGAATCTCAAAAAACAACAACAGAAAATAGATTTGAAAGCCAGGCATGGTGGCATGTGTCGGCAGTCCCAGCTACTCAGGAGGCAGAAGTGGAAGCACTGCTTGAGCCAGAAGTTCAAGACCAGCAGGGCAATATAGCAAGACCTTGACTCTTAAAAAAAAAAATACTTCAATTTGTAGAAAAATTTTAATTAGCTGGGCATGGTGGCTCGTGTCTGTAATCCCAGCTACTTGGGAGGCTGAGGTAGGAGACTTGCTTGAACTGGGACCTGGAAGGCGGAGGTTGCAGTGAGTTAAGATCACGCCACTGCAGTCTAGCCTGGGCTACAGAGCGAGACTCCATCTCAGAAAAAAAGAAAAAAGAAAAGAAAAATTTTATTTATGTGAAAGCATTTAAAGATCAACAAAATTAGATGAATATGTGTACTGTGTAAAGCCATATAAAATGGAGGGGAAATCTCTATCTGCTTTATACGGGGAATTATTGGAACAACAAAAATAAAGTAAAATAGTTGTGACTTTTCCACTCCCTTTCTTAGGGGGAAAAAAGGCTTTCTTTTGTCAAGATTATGTTTTAAGGAAAAAATCATTCTAAAGCTGAAGTGGGAAAACAAAACAAGTCAGATTACATATTATGTCTTCTCCTTATCCCCCTGGTTTTACCTCTTTTTTTGAAAATTCAGGTTTTCTTTATTCTGTTTTCATTCCATAAAACTAGTCATTTACCTATTAGAAAGAACCCAGTGTGCAATGAAAGAAATGCACCGTTCATTACTTCCTAAGTGGCTTGAACCATATTCTTCTAATGAGGTGTTAATGAGCAGCTAATATTCTATTCTGTCTCTGACTTACACTAAAGGGATTCAAAGGTGGCTTGACAGACCTGCTTTTGATTTTCTCATATCTTGACTTTCTACATCTTGATGTGAAGACCTAACAAGCTCTATATGAATTTTAAGGTCTGGGGCAGTTTAAAAACTGCAAGGTTTTTAATAAAAAAAATTATTAAATTCAAAATAGAGGAGTTGACGGGGGCATGGTGGCTCACACCTGTAGGAGGGCAGATTGCTGGAGCCCAGGAGTTCAAGACCAGTCTGGGGAACATAATGAGACCTTGTCTCTACAAAAAAAAAAATTAAAAATTAAAAAATGAGCCAAGTGTAGTGGTGCACACCTGTAGTCCCAGCTACTCAGGAGGGATTCTGTTGAAGGCTACCTCAAGTGAGATTCGAGGATCACTTGAGCCCAGGAGGTGGAGGCTGTAGTGAGCCAAGATCACGCCACTGCATTCCAGCATGGGCACCAAAAACAAAACAAAGCCAGTCCAAAACAAAAACAAAATACAGGAGTCAAAGTAGGCAGTTTTTTTTTTTGTGGTTTTAAAATTTATTTTAACTGACTGTGGAATGTCTTCATGTTCTTTTTTTTTTTTTTTTGAGACAAAGTTTTGCTCTTGTTATCCAGGCTGGAGTGCAATGGCGCGATCTCGGCTCACCGCAACCTCCGCCTCCTGGGTTCAGGCAATTCTCCTGCTTCAGCATCCTGAGTAGCTGGGATTACAGGCACGTGCCACCATGCCCAGCTAATTTTTTGTATTTTATTTTTAGTAGAGACGGGGTTTCACCATGTTGACCAGGATGGTCTCGATCTCTTGACCTCGTGATCCACCCGCCTCGGCCTCTCAAAGTGCTGGGATTACAGGCTTGAGCCACCGCGCCCAGCCCTGTCTTCATGTTCTAAATGGAGTTAACAGCAGCTGCTCCCCTAACATCAATACAGCACTATGGGGCCAGGCAGTGAGCTATGTGCTTTACCCAAATAATTTCACTTAAATGTCACAATAATCTTATAAAGAACTATTACTATTTCTATGTTAGGGATAAGGAAACCAAGACTTAGGGAACTGAAGAAGCTTGCCCAGGTTTTCAAGGTTAGTAAGTGGAAAAACTGGAATTTGAACTTGGGAGTTGGGTTTAATATGGTACAAACAACCAGTTGTTTGATTTTTAGAGTCCATTTGAATGTCTGTTATATCACTTATTGAATAAGACACTGTCTTCTCAGTATACTAAAGAATTTATAAAACATTGAAATAAAAATAGTAATGTACAGTATTTGCTTTTAGAACTTTAATTCTCCTTCCCACACCACTTGTCTTTTCTTCTCCCTTGAAGTCTTAAGTTAGAATTAAAGGAAAAGAGGCAGGCTGAATTACTTATTAGCATTTTCACCATCTGAAAAAAACTTGCTGTTGTAACTCTTCTTAGACCTAATTTATACATGTGAACAATTTCTTTCAGACCCTAAGTACCTTATAAAAGCAAATTTCTAAAAACACTTCTTTTTAAAAGGTGAAAGGGATATTAAGAGATTATCTGTTCAACTCCTGATACTACATTAGAAGTACTGATGATTTCCTCTAGTTAATAATTGGGTCTGTACTCAGAGCCAAAAGAAATTTTTAAATTTATATTAAAAAAAAAATTGGGACAGGGCTAGAACCTAGGTCCTTCAAAGCCTAACTTGACCTGTAGCTCCCATAAGACTAGTCCTCAATTTGTATCATTAGGTGGCCTGTCTCTGGCTAACAAAGTTTAGATCTATCTACAGAGAATATTTTTCCTCACTGCCATGTGAAGGAAACAGAAAGGACACATATTTGGAGTACAGCCAAGAATGGTCTAATATGAATATGTAGTGTAATATGAAACACACACAAGAGACCAGCTTCTACCTTTAACACAGACTATGATTGAAAGCACTTAGCCTTTTAAGAATTTTCCAACTGCTGCAGAAACATTTCACGTTTAAGTCCAATCTCATTCAAACATTTGTCAATTCATAATAAAGGTAACAAACATTCTTACTTGGTTTTATTTCCAGTCTAATATTTCTATACCAATTGCCCATATAAGTGTATTTAAGGCCAAGTATCTATAGAAGTCACTACATTTTGCCTGGGTGATATCTTTGATATCTACACAGTTCTAAGAATTATAGATCTTTTGAATTCAATGTAGTACAGTTACATACTGCAATGACTGTGTAGTTTTGTGATTATAAACACACAGGGAGAATACTTTAGAAAGCCTGGACTTCATTTTGAAGTTCTAAACTGGCATGGAAGACTGGAAAGTTACAACAATGCTTCATCAGGAACTCATGTGGCTGTCTTATGACAGATATACTGAAAGTGCTCTGGACACTCTAGAGAAAGACAAAGACTTTTTTGTTGTTGTTTTTTGGGATGGAGTCTCGCTCTGTTGTCCAAGCTGGAGTGCAGTGGCATGATCTCTGCTCACTGCAACCTCTGCCTCCCAGGTTCAAGTGATTCTCCTGCCTCAGCCTCCTGAGTAGCTGGGACTACAGGCATATGTCATCATGGCCGGCAAATTTTTTTTTTACTTTTAGTAGAGACGGGGTTTCATCATGTTGACCAGGATGGTCTTGATCTTCTGACCTCATGATCTGCCCACCTCAGCTTCCCAAAGTGCTGGGATTATAGGCATGAGCCACCGTGTCCAGCCCAACAAAGACTTTCTAAAGCCATTTCCCTGTATCTAAAGGAAGGGGAAACCTACACAAACAACTTCAGATATTAATTCATGTGACTTACCTATATCGCTCCTCCTGTAAGGTCTGCATTATTAAGGAATAGTCCCTCTGATAATGTTCCTTGAGAGTCTCAAAGGATTCCTCCAGTCTGGCCTGGGTTTCCCGTATCTCCTGGATCTCATGTAGTAGTGCATCAAATCCTGAGCTTTGCATGTCCAGGGTGTTTGTTTTGGAGCTAGATGCTCCTACAGCAATGCCCCCTGTGGTGCTGTTGGCTCCCACTGAGCCTGAAGTGGCACTAGAACAATCTTCTTCACTACCATATTTTGGGCTCGACTGAAAGTTCGAAATCACTCCCAAAGTCTTCCCTGCCTCATCCACTTGCCCTTCCTCTAAAGAGTCCTTCAGGTTGGGGATGTTGTCTGCACTGCCAAATTTGTTCCGAATGAGTGAGGCAATCTCTCTAGGCTTTGAGACTACAGCGCCTGCTGCTGAATGGGTGGCCTGGGAGAAGCTGGAAAACCCACCTTTGACACTATCCACCACACCTTCACTGAAGCCAGTCACCTTTGCTCCCACATCCTTCAGACCCTGGTGCATGTCCCTGAAGACATCCTTTGGCTGCCGGGGGATCCCATTCTGCTCCACTTCTCTGAGCTTCCTGTGGTAGTGCTCAAGTTTCTTTTGCAGCTGGAGGATAGTTTGGGCAGACTTCTGGTTCTTCTTCTCAAAGACCTGCTTAATTCGGGCAGCCTGCTGTTTGTCTGCGCTGTTGGCAAGCTTCAAGTATTCAGCAACGTTGTCGTCCCGGGCTGTTTGTGCAATCTTGATTTGTTCTGTGAGCTTCAGGATCTTCTGCTGCAGGTGAGCAATGGCAGCCTTTGTGCGCTGAGGGTCTGGTGTTCCATCCACAGAGTCTGTGTGGATGCTGCCATCAGTACTGGAGGCCACTGCACTGGATGTTTGGGCAAGGCTGCTTACTTCCAACCGCTCGATCTATCGTAAAAACAAGCGGTAAATGTTAGAAGAAGCCCAAGAGGACTAGGTCTCCAAAATCAACAGTCAAAATGTACTGGAAACATATCTACTTTCAAATCTCAGTAGTTACCTGACCTGTAATTCCCCCTTGTCCTATGCAAGCCCTGTCTCTCTTATATACTGTCCTTATACAAGTATACTTTAAGCAAAACAGATATATGAAAAAAGATCTGCACAAGATATAAGCTGTGGAGTCTTCCTTTGCTAGAGGATCTTTCAGTGTTTCTTCACACAATAAAACTCCCTTAGTGGGCTCCAAGTATGAACTAATTCAATTTCTTTACATATAATTTCTATTCAGAAGTACATCTATGTAAAACAAGTTGCATTTGCATTCCAGTTATATGAAAACCCTTTTGGTGTTCAGACATCACTGTAATTCTAATTCACACTTATAGATCATGGTCACCTAAAAATGCCAACAGAATAGGTATGTTACTGGCTAGATATAAAAATGCAATTTTTAGAGGCGGGGCATGGTGGCTCATGCCTGTAATCCCAACCCTTTGGGAGGCCGAGGCGGGTGGATCACGAAGTCAAGAGATCGAGACCATCCTAGCCAACACGGTGAAACCCCGTCTCTACTAAAAATATAAAAAAAAAATTAGCCAGGTGTGGTGGCACGCGCCTGTAGTCCCAGCTACTAGGGAGGCTGAGCCAGAAGAATCGCTTGAACCCGGGAGGCAGAAGTTGCACCAAGCCGAGATTGCACCACTGCGCTCCAGCCTAGCGACAGAGCAAGACTCCATCTCAAAAAAAAAAAAAAAAAAGCAATTCTTATTAAAATGTTTTTTATCTAAATCATGTCAAGGGTAATGGATCACTCTCTATATTCTAAGAAGGATACTTAATTGGTAGCTAGAGATGGTTGGAGGCAAGATGGGAATGTACTGCTGAAAGTGGCAGAGGTGAATATTACCAAATCAAAGGTGATAATGTTGGGCAAGAAAACTTGAAAACTCAGGGACAGGAACAGTAAGAGCTAAATAAACAAGTCAGGGACAAAGATCATGTCTTTTGGAGCCCAAATTTTGTGACTTTGATCCAGTAAAAGGTTTTGGTTAAGCAAGGGACTCCAAAGCACATATAATATACTTTTCCTTTTATGTGGGTGAGAACCATTCAAAGGAGTTGAAGAAAAAGACAAGACAGTCAGATTTAAAAGCATAAATGTGCACTCTTCAACACAGTTAGCTAAATCTGGGGAGGTCAAGTTTCTCAAATTCAGGAGAAAAAAATCCTCCAGGAGGTCATCCATGGGTGTGGCTTGTGGTGGTGAATTTGGGTAGGGCCCAAAGAAGAAGGCTCTAGAAAAAACTGTTCTTGGCCAGGCACAGTGGCTCACGACTATAATCACAGCGCTTTGGGAGGCCAAAGGAGAAGGATCACTTGAGGCCAAGGGTTCAAGACCACCCCAGGCAACACAGTGAGACCCCCACTCTCTACACATTTTTTTTTTTTTTTTAATTAGACAGGTATGGTGGCACCCACCTGTAGTCCTAGCTACTAGGGAGGTGAGGTGGGAGGATCACTCAAGCCCAGTAGTTCCAGGCTGCAGTGAGCTATGATTGCACCACTGTACTCCAGCCTGAGTGACAGAGTGAGACCCTGTCTCTAAAAAGAAAAAAAAAAAAAAAAAACTGCAACAGAGTAATGAATACTGAGTAATAAAATAACCTTCTTAGGGTAATAAAAATTCCCAGTATAAGTGCCAAATTACAATCCTGTAGACTAAGATCATACCCCTTTTCTTGGTTCCCATCTTAATCTGTACCAGGTAGCAGACAGAACCATATACAAGGCTACCTCCTTCCTCATATTTTCATGACAATAATGCACCAACTTTGTTTTGATATTTATCACTCAAATATATTTCAATATTTATGAAATGCCAATAATTAACCTAGAGATAACATCTTCTATCTTTTCTTCATCTGGGATGTATTACCTCAGTTTGCCATGTGAGCAGGAACTATGCTGATGTCTGAGCCATAAAACACATCTAGTTCATTACTGAATTCAATATATTACCATTGATGTGAATAAATACAATACTTTCTTTCTAGACAAACAAATGAGAAATCGTGCATTTAAATAAAATAAAAAGAGAACTTAATACTGAAATTAATGATGAAATAACATTACGCTCCACTAGTTAATAAAAGAGAATATCCAGAATAGTTAGAGACCAGCACAATAATTGTTTTGTGTCACTTCTCCCTTCTGCTCAATTCATCCTTTGGTACATGCTAACAAGCAGTAAAATGGCCAGAGTCTGCAGAATGGAGGAACAGCCAGAGTTCCGATAACCAACATCCCAAGAGTTGCAACAAGAGATCCTGGAAATCCACTTTATTCAGTGCCCAATGTCTTCTAGGTTGTACAAGGTTCTAATTGTTGTATTTTCTTTCTGAATGAGATTTCAGATCCTTGACCTTGATGAGTATTTATGTTTAATAATTAAGCTCAAAATCTATCACAATATAAAGGAAAGCAAATATAAGAATGTCACTAGATCCAAGACTCTAAAAGCTTCTGCATGCTCTAGTTCTCTCTCTCTTAGGTTCTCTGATATTAATATGAATATTAACTTACATGCAATCTGTTGACTAAAGAAGTGTAGCTATGGCCAGGCACAGTGGCTCGTGCCTGTAATCTCAGCACTTTGGGAGGCCAAGGTGGGAGGAGAGCTTGAGCCCAGGAGTTTGAGACCAGCCTGGGCAACATGGTGAAACCCCACCTCTACAAAAAAATTTAAAAATTAGCTGAACATGGTGGCATGTGTCTGAAGTCCCAGCTGCTCAGGAGGCTGAGGTGAGAGGACAGCTTAAACCTGGGAGGCAGAGGTTGCAGTGAGCTACGAGCCATGATCCTATTTGATTATATCTCTAAAATGAAAAAAGAAACCTCTACACTAAATTTTCAACATATATTCACATGTTACATAATGACATTTCGGTCAATGATGGACTGCACATACAACAGTGGTTCCATGAGACTATGATACCAGATTTTTACTATACCTTTTCTTTGTTTAGCTGTTTAGATACACAAACCCCGCTGTGGTACAGTGCCTACAGTATTCAGTACAGTAACCTGTTGTACAGGTTTGTAGCCTAGAAGCAATAGGCTATACCACATAGCCTAGGTGTGGAGTAGGCTATACCATCTAGGTTTGTGTAAGCACATTCAGTGATGTTTGCACATTAACAAACCTCTCTAACTGCATTCTTCAGAACATATCCCCATATTTACAAGTGATCACATTTTAGATGTGATGTTATTTCCTTACATAGAAACTTAAGAAATAAACTAGGCTGTCTTTAATCTGACTTCTGACCTACCTGGGCTATTTGGAACCACAGTGTGTCTGGCTCCTACTCAGAATCATCAACATGCCTGCAAGAGTACAGCTGATAGAACCCAAGGTCTTCAGCCTCTAAAGAAAACTAACCCACAACTTCAGCAGTAAGGTAGTTTAACACCTGAAACCATGAATCACTGGATTACTGAATTCCTCCCAATTCTTGCAGAAACAATTTTTTTAAAGGAGAAATAAGGGGAGGGGAAGAAAGGAGGAAGATGCAGAGAGGGGAGGAGAGAGGAAAAGACGAAAGGAGAGGATGAAGAAGAGTGGGGTGGCAGAAAGGGAAAGTAAAGGAGGAAAGAAAGAGAAAGCTACATTGGACTACAGAATCACAGGACAAGGGAGAAGAACAGTCTTGATATATCCTGAGTTAGGAACAAAGTCCTTTTAAGTCCATGCTCTAGGCATAAATACTTAGCATTTAGCTACGAGTTATGAAGGCATCAACTGAAAAGTGATTCCCTTTTTCAACAGCATTTGCTGTCGTATTAGGCTGTCCATATATAACAACATAAAATTAGATTATCTTTTATTTGAGATGGAGTTTCATTCTTGTGGCCCAGGCTGGAGTGCAATGGCATAATCTTGGCTTACTGCAACCTCCGCCTCCAGGGTTCAAGCGATTCTCCTGCCTTAGTCTCCTGAGTGGCTGGAATTATAGGCACCTGCCCTCATGCCCAGATAGTTTTCTTGTATTTTTAGTAGAGATGGGGTTTCACCATGTTTGCCAGGCTGGTCTCGAACTCCTGACCCCAGTTGATCCACTGGCCTTAGCCTCCCAAAGTGCTGGGATTACAGGTGTGAGCCACTGGGCCTGGCCATAAAATTAGATTTCTAACTCATTCCAGATAGACAATTAAATCTCAAATGAAAAAGGCAAAATTTAAAAACCTTTCAAAGGCAGCATTGGAAAATAAGGAAGTTTTTTCTTAAACATATACACAAAGGCACAAATCCAAAAAACAAGATTATTGAGTCTGGCTCCATATAGTATAGTAGTGAAGCACAGATTCCATATAGTATAGTAGTGAAGCATAAATTGCTTGGGTTCAAATCTGGCAAGTTATGTGGACAAGTTACTTAACCTCCGCAGCCATTTCGTCAACTATAAAACTGTAAAATGCAAAGCTCACTTTAGAAGACAATTGTGAAAATAAAATGGGTCAACAAATATAAAAGGGCTTAGAATAGTACCTGGCACAGAGTAAGTTGTTAGCATTGGCTGTTGCTTTTTTACCATGAAAGTAGTTCTTTTAAAAATTTAAGTATTAAGAGATTCCAGAATATATTCACTTCCAAGATCTTTCCACATTTCAGGCATGAACAAGGGATATGAAGAGAGTTTGAACCAAAAGAATAATGCAATTCAACACTACAATCAAAGTAATATAGTCACCTATGATAGATATAGTTGGCCTCGTGACTATGCACTTACCTAGGTAACTTTCCAATTTTAAAAACAACATTACAGATTCTGTTATCCCTAATTTACGAATGACTTGATTGCCTCCCACCACCAGTTATTATGAGGCAGGATGAGGAAAGCAGCAGCAGTCCCACCTACTCAACAGGGTGTCTTTTTCTGATCATA